GGCGGACTGGGCGTGGCAGAGAGCTGCAGGCAGCTGCAGTGTGGCGCTGCTAGAATGCAGCCGGCCCCGAGTTCGGACGTATCTGCTTTGAGCCTACAGGAAAGGAATTAGTTGGCCGCGCTGCTCACAGGTATATGCAGTACAGCAGATTGGTAAGTTAAAAATACGTTAATACGTGAAATGGTAGCGTGGTAGCCGCAGGAAAAGCGTCTTATCGCCTCGCGCGGTTATATCGCTTTATCTCCGCATAAATCAACCACACCACACACACAACGATGCATGTAAGTATGCAATACGCATCGGAACATGGGAGTAACATTAACGTGCGGATGGTTCCGGGGCCTGCGACTTCGGGCTTGTCACGGTAAGCCCGCCGTATTATTCTCGAGGCTATGACCGTAAACGTTCAGCGACCAATACGCCTGAATGGTTATTTGCCACAAAGCGTTTCTGTGCTATCACTCGTTAAAGTTACGTTGGCCATGTCATGACTACGGTGCATCATTTGCATAGATTCATGTCAGTAGAATCGAAAAGTTCAGCGGGCAGCGTGCAACTGAGCAAAAGCACCACTGACATACTCTGCAACCGGTTTATGGAAAGAGGACTCTCGGGCTGATGGGATGTTTGGGAATGAGCCAGGGTTGTCGCCCTCCTGCAACCTTTACCATTTCCCGCAAGTGGTGTGGGAGTGCCGTAGCCGAGGACGACCCATTCCAGCATGGCCAAACTTCGTCTGGTTGGGTGCTCAGGCGACCAATATTAATCCACGCCATTAGGGCTCTGTGTCGCACGCCGCCGCCGCTTCCACCGGGCTCCCTCTGCTGCTAATGCGTTGCCCTTTGACCCCGGGCCCTCACATGCTGACCTGCCCGCCCGATTTATCTGACCCGATGTGCAAAGATGCCGGACTGACCGTCATCGGACTCGATGCCGATTGGTTGATCTTGAGCAGGAGAGGAGCAACAGCCCATGAACCCAAAGACACCATATCATGGAAAAGTATCGATCTGCTTCACGCCTAAATGTCTGACCTTTGCCGCACTGACCACTTCGTCCCCCTCTCTTCCGTGTCCAGAAAGCATGTGCGCCCAGAGATTACCGTTACCCGGTGCGGGACTGGCGGGAGGACCCATCCGCCGGTGGCAGCAGCCGCTCGTGCCGTGCCTCTTGGGGAAACCAAAGCTCCAAACGGTGACAGCAAAACAAAGTCGGCTGGGAAGGGATCTCCAACCACGAATATATCGAGATGCACGCCCACCCCATCACAGTCGTTTTAAAATAGACGGCCCTCGCCTCATTCTCTTCCACACCCAGAAAGCATGCGCAGCTGAAGGTCAGCCTCGTCCGGAATGGCGAGATGAAGCGGGTGCGTGGCTTGCCTGCTGTGGAAGCTGCAACCGCATGCAGTGACAGATGTGTCTGCTGTGGAAGCTGTGACTACATACAGTGATTGCTGCGTCTGCAGCGGAAGCTTCAGCTGCATACAGTGACAGATGTGTTAGCTGCAGGAGCTGCGACTGCATACAGTGACAGACGTGTCTGCTGTGGGAGCTGCTTGCAGTGACAGACGTGACTGCTGCGGGAGCTGCTTACAGTGACAGACGTGTCTGCTGCGGGAGCTGCTTACAGTGACAGACGTGTCTGCTGTGGGAGCTGCTTACAGTGACAGACGTGTCTGCTGCGGGAGCTGCATACAGTGACAGATGTGTCTACTGTGGGAGCTGCATACAGTGATAGACGTGTCTGTTGCGGGAGCTTACAGTGACAGACGTGTCTACCGCGGGAGCTGCATACAGTGACAGACGTGTCTGCTGCGGGAGCTGCATACAGTGGCAGCAAAACGGTCTCGAGCGGAGATGCCAGGCGGATGCACAGATGCATCTGAAGGTCATTACCTTGAAAGGAAAGGTTTTAAATCACAATCTAAAAGCAGGTCTAAAAATTGCGCACTGCTTCACCACAAGGGCCATATGGTGAAGCGGTTAGTTCATGTAATCCGATCTCATGTCTGCCCGGTAACTCCGTGTCTGCCCGGTGACTCAGTTGGCTGGAACGCCTGTCTCCTGATCACCCACCTGTGGCGAGGCGAATTCGGGTTGCAGTTCAAGCTTGCTTCTTGCCCCTGACCGGCATGGCTTGTGACCGGTGGCAGCGGCCGTGCCCAAGGTCAGTGACGTCAGATGCCAGGGCGGACCGGGCGGAGCATTACGGCACGTCCAGGTTTCGCCATCCCATTCCGTCGTTGCACAGGAATTTCACGACCGGATGGTGTGGGTCAGAGTTAAGCACTGCTTGTGCTGAACTCTGATCCCAGAAGTTCATGCTTTGCAAAGGTTTAAATAAAAAATTAGTAGAAAAGATTGGTAAGGTGGTCATCTGATAACGTCGCATTTAATGTCGTAAATTGCTGTGCTGGTCAGAGTACAAACCTATCATCACAAAAACCAGCCATCTTCAGACGACAGCGGACCTGTCAAGATAGGCGCGACTAAGCCACTGGACGGCTCCAGTGCAGGATGACGCTGACTAA